CTAAGTCACCGTGAAGAAATGCCGTCTTCACGTCCATTTGTTCTACCTCGAGGTCCATCGAAGCCGCCATGGCTAACACGGTTCGGACCGAGGTCATTTTCACCAAAGGAGAAAAAATCTCCTCAAAGTCTATTCCCTTCTTCTGATTGTAGCCTTTCACTACAATCCGGGATTTGTATCTCGGCTTTTTCCCGTTCTCTTAATTCTTAATCTTGTAGACCCATTTGTTTTTCAGAGCTCATCTTCCTTTTGGCAACTCGGTCAGCTCATAAGCTGATTCTCGTTCAGAGACTTCATCTCGTCTTGCATTGCCTTTTTCCATTCTTCTTTCTCTGAGCTCATCACAGCCTCATCATAACTCTGAGGCTCACCGTCTTCAGCTACAACGGTGTATTCATCATATGGATATCTTGTAGAGGGTCTTCTTTCTCGAGTTGGATATCTCGGCTGTTCTTCAGCTTGAGGACCCGATTCATCATTCTCATCCTGGATCTCATCATCAACTCGGACCTCAGTGTCTTGGTCATCCTCAGCTGGTTGCTGGTCATCAATTTCTTCATTTTCATGATTTTCTCCCCCTGCTTCAGCTCGGACAGGAGGGATGGGTTCTTCTCTTCTGACAGTAACTCAGACTTTGGGCTTCGAGATGTCATGAATGTTCTCATCTTCATGAAAGATCACATCTCGGTTTCTCACTATCTTTTTATTGATTGGATCCCAAAGTCAGAACCTGAACTCACATTTCGGTGAACCAAGATAAATGCATTCTTTGGTCTTCGCATCGAGTTTTGCCCTTTCATTTTTAGGGATATGCACGAAAGCTCGGCATCCAAACACCTTCAATTGATTATAGGCCACTTTCTGACCTGTCTAGACTTCTTCTGGAATTTCTCCTTCAAGTGGCCGCGATGGTGAGAGGTTGATCAAGTCAACAACAGTTTTGAAGGCTTCTCCCCAGAATGATTTCGACAATCCAGCATTGGATAATATGCTTCAGACCTTCTCTTCAATAGTTTTGTTCATCCGCTTAGCCAGTCCATTCAACTGTGGTGTCTTGGGGGGGCGTCTTCTCAAGTCGGATCTCGGCCGCTCAGCAGTATGCATCAAATGGGCCGTAGTACTCACCACCATTGTCAGATCGGACCACCTTCAATTTCTTGCCAGTCTCTCTTTCAACCATAGCATGGAATTCTTTAAAAGATTGGAGTACCTGGTCTTTAGACTTCAACAAATATACCCACACTTTGCGGGAATGGTCATCAATAAATGAAACAAAATACTGAGCTCCTCTAAGGGATCTTTTCGACATGGAGCAGACATCAGTATGGACGAGGTCAAGAATATACCTGTGTCGTCTGGGTTGATCCGGTCTCACAAAAGAAACTCGGTGCTGCTTTCTAGCTAGGCAGTGCGTGCAATTCTCCAACGCTTGGCCTTTCAACCCGGTCAGTAATCCTTTCTTGTTCAGGATCTGTAGCTCTTTTTTGCTCATGTAGCCGAGGCGCTTGTGCCATAGCTCCAAGCTAGGTTCATCTCGAACTGAATTGGCTTCTCAGCCATTGATCTTTCCTTGCATCACGTACAAGAGCCTTTCTTCTTACCTCGGGCCACGACCAAGTTTCCCTTGGTCAGCTTCCATCTAACACTACCGAAGTAGTTCACTAACCCAGCATCATCAAGTTTGCCTACCGAGATTAGGTTCAAACGCATGTCAGGAACATGCCTTACATCTTTCAACACAAGTCGGCATCCAACATCCGTGGTCAGAGTTACATCACCGACACCAACAATCTTGCTGGTCACTTGATTTTCCATCTTCACGACTCCAAAATCACCACCTCGATAAGAGGAGAAAAAACCTTTGTGTGGAGTAACGTGGAAGGAGGCACCGGAGTCAACAATCCAGGTGCAGTCATCATATGCAACATTCAAATAATTATCCTCACCTAGGAGGAATATCTCGGCATCCGGGTTGGCAGCCACCGCAGTGGTGCTCTTGTGTTCCCTCTTCTTGGGAATAATCTGATCCGGCTTCACTGAGTCTTTCTTCTCGTCATTTTGCAGGGTCCAGCAGTCCGGCTTCTTATGACCTGTCTTTCCACAGTAAAAGCACTTCAACTCATATTTCAGCTTTGACCGACCTCTGGACTTTTCTCGCCTGTCACGACCTCGACCCCGACTCTTGCTTCTACCCCGGGAGTCGGGTTTCCCTTTGTTCTCAGCAACGTTGGCCTCAGACGTGCTAGAAGTACCTCGTTTTCTTCTCTTGGATTCTTCACCCAGAAGGCTGTCTGTCACGACATCCATCTTCAATTTTCCATCTGGAGTCGAATTATTCAGGGTCACCACCAAAGTATCCCAGCTTTCTGGCAACGAGCTCAACAGCAACAAGGCCTGCATCTCGTCATCAATTTTCATATCAACCTTTGACAGCTGATTCACAATACCTTTGTAGGTTATGAGGTGTTCAATCATACTCATGCCGTCCTTGTATTCCAACTTCACAAGTCGGCGAACCAGGTGTGCTTTGTTCCTGGGAGTCTTCTTTTGAATCAAGGACTCTAATTTCGTCCATAACTCGTACGCGTTCGTAAACTCGGACACGTGCTCAAATAGGCTTTTGACAATATATTTTCTAATCGTAGCTACCGCCTTACGACTCTGAATCTCCCACTCCTTATCGGTTTTGCCTGCCGGTCTCTCATCAAGGATAATGGGCTCGTGCAAATCTTTGCAGTAGAGATGATCTTCCATCACCGGTCTCCAATATGTGAAATTGTCTGCGGTCAGCTTGAACATGTCTCCATTATGGGTTATGTCACTGGTCTCCATCTCGTCTCCCTCAGAACCCGTCGAACTCGGGCTCTGATACCACTGTTGGGAAAAACTCATTCCCTCAAGCTCGGCTAAGCAGCCTTTGTGCGGAAGTCAATCAACAAGATCCTGATCTCGGATCTCGACAATACCTCGGCCTGAACTTCACCAGGTCGGGCAGCGCAGCGGAAAAATCAAAACGAAAAACAGAAGAGAGAGGAGAAGAAGAGAGAGAGAACACAAACAATTTTAACGTGGGAAAACCTTCTTCAATGAAGAAGCAAAAACCCACGGGACCTAGTCCAGATCAAAAATTTACTATGAAAATAATGGTTACAAAGAATCAAATACACCAATGTGGTGGTTAACACAACCTTTCCAACAATGGTGATAATCAAACCTCCCTAGAGATATTTCACTCAAACTCTCTAGAGATCTCTCAAATACAAAGCATAAAGCTTTGCTCAAATCTCCCAAATAATTCTCTCAAAGTTTCTCTCAAATCTCTTTCTTAATTTCTCTAACCTAGCCTCCACTCACAACTAATGAATATATAGAGAAGGTGAGATCTAAGGTTAGGGTTTTTAAGAAACCTCTCAATGAACTTGAGTTTAGCATTGAAGGAGGAAGCCCAATAAAATGAACAAAGAAAATGAAGAGTTTATGAGCTTTTGTCACAAAATGTAGTTGGTATATCTCAAAGGAAAATTATGAGCGGTGGCCATTTTGATATGCACTAAAACCAGAGTTTAAGTGCTACGACACTTGAATTATTACAGTCCAAAATACAATTTCAAGAAAACTAGGGCGATTTCATTGCTCTTAAAATGTACAATTGTGCATCACTTTCTGTGTTCTGACGTGTATGGTGTAACCCTATCATGAACTGTCTTTGTGGTTCTTCAATATGTAGATTGCAAGTCTACATGTATTAGAGCTGGCTAGTGGGCTACTAAAACTGAAAAAAAAAAAAAAAAACCAAAAACCATATCCCCATTAAATGAATGACCAAGTTCTAGAATTATACATACTTGTGTCCTTATACATACTTCTAGAAGCTCTTTTGTATCATTCATCATTTATATTAAGGATTATGAAAATTCGGATAAAAATACAAGATTTACTATTAAGGAGAATGTCAATTTTTAGTATCACAAAGGAAGGATGTAAATGTTTTAGATAGTGGCAAAATTTAACAGATTTTCCGTGCATTACCTTAAGATGAAAAGCAATATTTTAAAGCTTGATTAAGATTTCAGCAGCAATAGGAACATACCAAATGTCAAAACTTGAGTAAATCACCGAATGAACAACATTGCTCTGTGAAAAGGAAGGAAGAAAAGCGTGCGATTAGATTGATGAATTTGATGTTCCATTGAAAGCGTTATTATCCAACTCAAAATCCAGCTATGGAAATGGGGAAAGGCAAGCCTATGAATAACAGTCATATCTTGGAAAAGAAGTTCATATGCAAAATCAATTGAAGTTCATAGTTTATGTCAGAATAAAATCAAACCCAAATCCTAAATTCAACACTCAGAATTTTCTCTAGTCTTTTTATACATAACTTTCATGAGAAGAAGAAAGAAACAAAAGGTGAATTTTCTTATTTTATTTTGTTATTATAAAAAACGTGATTTTTTTTTTTTGAAGAAACAAGTATAAGATTATTTTTGAAGTTTTAAAAGACAATATCTAATGTTAATCAATCTAATTTGTGTGTCATTTTGTCATCAGTCAATCAAATTAGTAATATAACGTAGATGATGTGGCAAGGATAAAGATGAAAAATAGTACATAGAGAGGGTTTTTTTTTTTTTTTTTTTTTTTTTTTTTTTTTTTTTTTTTTCCTTGTAAATATTTTCTACATTCTAATTCAATCAATCAAAATAGAATTCAATATTTTCAATTTAACTTTTTGCCTCAATAGTCTCCTCCGGATCGCTATTATCGAGCCGGAAGTGGCAGAAAAAGACAAATTAAGCATTTCTCGTTTTCCTTTTGTCATAAAAATATGAGCTTTGAATTTAAAAGCTCATCTTCTCACCAACCCACCAATCACAACCCTTGTATTTCTCATTTTTCCCACGAAATCAAGTTTTGATTAATTCTTTTTTGACACCCCATAATTCCAACTGTAGATTTCCTCCAACAATTTCAGGTTTTTCTTTCTTCTTTTATCTAAATCTCAAATTAGGGTTCTAATTCTAAGTAATTATCCGTTTCAATGGTACTTTTTATTTGTGATGACGGGTGGTGGATATCAATTTTGCTTGCTTTTGGTGCTATGTATCTTCTTCTTTTTTCCCCTGTATTTTCTTCCCGGTTGTCAGAAAAGCATAATTCAATATTTGAATTACCCTTAAAATTCTCTCTGCAATCTAATTCCTGGTTTTAAGTTTGAAAGGAAGGTTCTTGTAGGTGATTGTATGGCTAATAGAATCTCTTGGATCATATTTCTGGATATTAGTATCAGTAGTTGATGTTTATCAGATGAGCTTATTCATGCCAACCAAACTCTAAATGTTAGATTGTTGATTGAATGTAGCTTAGTGATTGTTGAAGCTGAACAAGTAGAGTGATTCTGTTGATAGGAGTCCCTGAAATGTATAGGCCTGTGGCTGCTTCGTCGGCCACACCGCGCGGTGGATTGCCTACTGACAGTGGGGACTCTGTTGTCACTTTGGATCAAGTTCCGCGATGGAGTAATGCTGACCAGTCTTTGGGGTATGAAAATGGAGATTCTCCATTTTCTAGTTCATACTTTCCTGATCCTTTAGCATCACACTCAGGAGCAGACAGTGGTGATGGCAGCAATTCAGTGTCAAGATTTCCCATTGACCATGAAGTAAATTCAAAGATATATTTGTGGAGGGGGAATCCCTGGAATCTGGAGGTAGATGCTATGGTAAATTCGACAAATGAGGTAGACACTATCTGGCTTGTCATTTAGTATTGTTGTTTAAGTATTCCTGCATTAATTTAACTTCTGTAGGTTTGGTATTTGCAAAGTTTTATTTATCATTGTCGTGTTGTTTTCTATCTTTTCACTATGATTCATGGGACCTCAACTCACACCCATTTGCTTATTTGAATCTACTCTTGAAGACAACTGAGCGTGAGAGTTTTGTGATAGTATAAATTTTCCCTACTTGCTGAAAGTTACAGCCCAAACATCCATGTTGTTGACTCTTTATTGTAGTGTGATGGGTGATTTAGTCCATTTAGATGGATTTTTATGTGAATCACGCTGAGAGCAATGAGACCTGTCAACAAATAAGGAACCTAAGGACCGTTTCTACAATAAGCCAATAGGTTTGAATGGGAAAACCATGACCCCGTTACCTATAGAGAGGTAAGAACCTTGGTATAGTTGAAGATGTCATAAATGGTGGTGGAAATCCATTTGATATGTCAAATTGGTGAACATCACAGAGTGATTCTGATAAGTTCACTAGTTCTTCAAAGAACCAAAGAGAAAACTCTCATAATTTCACCAAATCGGACTTAGACTGCATCATTTAATACCGTTCCCATATTCACATCAGCTTTAATTTTCTTTCCTTTTTTTACCTTTCTTTATTTTTTTGTGAGGTAATGGCCATTTAGGACTACTAAGGAATAGGATGGACCCAAAAGAACACCAATGTGGTTATTTTGTTCTGTAAAGTGATTGTTCTGTTTATGAAACAAAACAATTGAAAAAGTTCCACCTCCCCACCACTCTTCCAATAAAAATATGATTTTTGCAAGCATCCTTCCTTTTGGTGAGGCCTCAATGAGGAACCCACCTTGTGAGGAAATGCATGAAATTCTTCTTCTTCTTTTTTAAGCCTATATTTTCTTGTTTATGAAGGTTGGAAGTGTCTAGAGAAGAAGAGTATAACTTGGCTCACAAAGTTGTTTAATGAGATAATGAGGTCAAAGAAAATGCCAAATGAATGGAGGTGAAGCACTTTGATTCCTATTTATTAGAACAAGGGATATATACAAAATTGTGCTAACTATAGGGGGATTAAGCTCATGATCAAAGAATGTGTTGGTACCTGTACGTTCCTACTTGAATTGTAATAACTAAATAAGTGGAATACAAAATTATCAGATCTACTCCAACGGCTATCAATATCTGAAATACATCTATATTACCATTATATTCGTAATCAGCGAACTAACCATGTTCACCTTCATCATTACAATCAACATACTGCTTACCTCCTACACAATGAAATGGAAATACAAAAAAAACAATAACGAAATACTCACAGCAACTCCATTACAGACCAACAGGGTATTGCAATTACAGACTCCAATTAAAATGGCAAATGCAATCAAACAACTATTACAGACACTTTAACTATAATTGCTACTATTACTATTATTCCATACTCCTAACACCATCCACAAATCAAACCCGTTTGCAGAGAGTGCTCTTCCTTTTACTCCAAGTTGGTGAATGACTTTTCATGCCTTTCTCTTTGTCTCTCTCTTCCCTATAACTAATTTCCGTCACACTGCTCTCCCTCTCCAATTCTCCCTTCTCCATTCAACATCTGCCAGCTGTCCATCTCTCCATTGTGCATAACTAACTTCTCTTTATGCATCTCTTGGGTCTCCGCTTTTGATTCTTTTTCCTTGTTAGCTGGGCTTGGGCCCGAGTTCTCTTCTTGGACAATTTGAGCATAATTTTGGCTTGTCTCACTTCTTATTTCTTTATCTTTTCTCTTAACCACACCTGGTAGTTGGGCTGCACCACTTTTAATCCTCTTTCTTGTATATCTACGTGGAAAAGGCTCCAATGGTCCATCAGAATGAAACTATGGGAAAGGGTAACTGAATAGAGATTAAGACAGGAGACTCATGTTTTAGAGAACCTATTTGGTTTTATGCGAGATAGGTTAACAATGGAAGCAATATGACTTTTACGAAGATTGATGTAGAGGTACCGAAGGAAGCAAAAAGCTCCATACATGGTTTCCATTAACATGTGAAAGGCCTATGATATGGTGCCTAGAGAAGTCTTTTGGAACGCTCTAGAGAAGAACGGAGTTTGTACTTATTTTTTAGCAATCAAAGATATGTATGATGGGGTTACAACTAGTGTTAGAACACATGATGAGGTCGTTAAGGATTTTCCAATAACTATTGGATTACACCAAGGGTCTACTTTGAGCCCTAATTTTTTTGCCTTGTCTTTCTTGCCACAATGCATGCTTTTTGCAGATGATATAGTCCTTGAGTCAAGAGAGGAAATGAATGATAGAGTTGAGTTGTGGGAAAAGTTTGGGAAGCACATGGTTTCTGATTAAGTAGAAGTAAAACAGAGTATTCAGCCAGGCACACACTAGTACTAGCATAGAGGTATTGAATGGAGATCATATTATTCCACGAGTTGCTAGGTTTAAGTATCTTGGATCTATCATACAAGATGATGGAGAAGTTGGAGAGAGATGTAAATCATAGGATTCAAGATGAATGGGTGAAATGGAAAAAATGCCTCAGGTGTTATTTGTGATAGAAAGTGCCTTTTAAGCTTAAAGGAAAATTTAACCGCACAGCTATAAGACCTTAAATGTTGTATGGTACTGAATGCTGTGCAGTAAAGAGTCAAAAGAGCATAAGCAGAGTGTTTTGGTGGATGAATGGACATACAAGGCATGATAGGATCACGAATTAATGCATTACAGAGAAAGTAAGAGTAGCACCTATTGAGGAAAATATGGTAGCATATTGCCTATGGTGGTTTGGCCATGTGAGCAGGTGACCAATGGAAGCCCCAGTGATTGACCTATAGCAAGAAGTAGAGGGAGACTAAGAAAAAGTCTAGGTGAAACCATTAAAAATGACTTACATCTAAATGGACTTGCTCAGGATTTAGTTCATGATAGAAACAATGGTTTCCTTTGGTCTATGTAGTTGACCCCATCTAGTGGGAAAAGGCTTTCGTTGTTGTCATTGTATAATTTGTTATAGGCACTTACTCTCTGTTTTGTTTAGTGTAACGTTTAAAAGTCTATGTTGAAATGCCTATATTTGTCATTGTTTAAAAGCAGTTACATTTTAGGTTGACAACCACTCTCTTGTAGATAAAATCAAAGTATCAAACAACATTTAACCCTTGTGATAGGTTGCTTGCATAAATTTATTCAAATATTAATCAATAAAAGCATGGTCTTTATTCTTAAATAAATTTGACAAATTACAATTCTTTTCTTCCTTTTCCTTAAACCTCAGATCACTCTCTTGTTGATACTTATCATGAGTCCTTTCAATATCCTTAGTCAGAATTTTTTATCATGCATCTCGATTAATCTTCCCAATAATCCTCCTTATAAAGAACTAATTCAACCAAAAAGCTTAGATTGTTGGGTGAGGTTATATTAATGGTTTTATATATCTCTAACACGTTCCTCCAAGAGAGCCCATTGGGCTTAAAAGGTGGATGATACATCAGGCCCTGCTTTCCTGTGCTAAGAAATTCCACAAAGAAAATGGGGGGCGGCGAGGATCGAATCCGGGACACTGAGGCTCTGATACCATGTAAAGAGCCAATTCAACCCAAAAGCTTAAACTGTTGGATGAGGTTACATTAATGATTTTATATATCTCTAACACTCCTAAATACTAAATAAAGAAAGTATTGAATGTACTTTATGTCTCTAGATATTAAATGCATTCATTTAATACTTTCTTTATTAAGTATTAGGGGTATTATTAGGAGGATATATCATTATTCATAATACAATGATACTAGTAAGCATGTTATAACTGAACTGCAGTAAATAAAATGGAGCTAATAACATCTTGTTTCTTACATTGTTTTCATTTCTTGTGGTCAACAGAATATGGATGAAGCACACAGCAGCCCTGGATTGCATGGTGCAGCTGGACCTGGTCTTGCAGAAGAATGTGCGACTCTGGTATACTTAATTATTTAGCAAAACTATATTATGTGCTCTATGTTGAATGTTGATAATATGTGAGCTTGGTGCATGAGTTACAAATTTATTATATTATTAGTTTTACGTTTTGATTTCCTGTTGTTCAATATTTCATAGACTTGCAAGAAGCAGCTCCATATAAATTGTCATATCTCAGTTCCATGTTGGGGAAGCAGCTTTCTGGAAATGATGTTTGATAGTAATGACTGATACATTTTTATTGTTGACAGGGTGGATGTCGAACAGGGATGGCTAAAGTTACCAAAGCATATGACCTTCCTGCTAGGTTTGTATGTTGGCCCTTTTTCTTTTCATTGTTCAATTCCAGATGAAGAAAAACAGACTCTATTTTAGAAGATCAATTCTACTATGCAATCATGTTTTACTTGTTTTTCTTTTATTGGGAGAACAGACACTCTGAGAATGTCTTTTGAGTAAGTGCTGTTGCATTGATTCAAAGGAGCTTTCTCATACTATCTTTGAGTCTCTTTTGAATGGTGGGCGTTGAGCATGGGGTTTGTATAAAATAAAAAAAATTCCTCATTAAACCCCAATTAGCAAGGGTGTGGTAAGGACAATCTTTGTACATAGTCTTACCCTAGCGTATTTACAAAGAGGCTGTCTCCAGATTCATACCTGTAACTTTTCAATCACAAAAGAGTAGTGTGTTACCACTATTCCAACCTGGTTGAGCATTGGATTTGTATATTATTTGTAAATGTTAAACAACATGCTTTTTCTTTTCCTGTGGTTTGGATCTAAAATCTGTTAATCATATGTGATGCTCCACAAATTAGGTTGTTGCATTCTATATTTCTACCCTTTGTTATTGACCTATATTTCTTCATTTGTTACTGACAAATCTCTGGTCTACAATTTGGATTCCTTGTATACCATGTTTTATTCTTTAATGAATTTCCCGCAGGAGAATTATCCATACTGTTGGCCCAAAGTATGCTGTAAAGTACCATACTGCGGCAGAGAATGCTTTAAGTCATTGCTATCGCTCTTGCTTGGAGCTTTTAATTGAAAATGGGCTTCAAAGGTTTTTTCCCCCAAGTGTTATATCATTTATTTTCTTGCAACTTTTATTATTTCTTGGAATCTCATGTTACTTTAAGATCTACAACTTACTTTTCTTTGGTATATATTGATGTAGCATTGCTATGGGTTGTATTTATACGGAGGCAAAGAACTATCCCCGAGAACCAGCAGCGCATGTAGCTATAAGTGAGATTTCTTTAGTGAGTTTTTTGTTTTTTCCTAAAAAATTGGGGCGGAGGGAGAGGGGAGAAGATAGAATGACTAATTATGCTCTCTCTTCAAGTTGTCAATCAATTCCTTGCAGTTTGCTGCGTTATTTGATTTTATATGTTACCAAGTGGTGTTTAGATTAATGGTCAAGGGGAATGCATGTTGGGTGCATCTTTTTTTTTATTTTATTTTTCATAAATCGTAATTCTACCATATTGTATGATTTCCAAAAGCCCCAGGTTTTTTAATCATGTCCCTGCTCAATACATCTAGTGTATATAGTATGATTTCTCTTAGTTAAGTTGACAAATGTTTTCAGAGGGTTGATGGATGATATATTAATCTTTAGGTTAAACCTTCTTTTATTTTCCCTTTTTTTTCATGCCTTTTATTCAGGAACTGTGCGGCGGTTTCTTGAGAAGCAAAAAAGCAACATAACAGCCGTTGTCTTTTGCACTACCAGCACAACCGATACTGAGATATATAAAAGGTATTTTCAGCATTTGTTTTTGTTTCTGTGTTGATACCTGATATATTTTTATTGACATGAACATTCCTATAGTTACCCAACTTTGGATGATTTTCTTTTCAACCTTGCCTTTCGACTTTGTAGCTATATTTACCTTTTGTATTGTTTAATGTAGGTTGCTTCCACTTTACTTTCCTCGGGATAAACACGAGGAGCAGGTTGCTTTGTCAAAACTTCCTGCAGACGTTGGGGATGAAAATGGTGAGACCATCATAGATGAGCGTAAAATCAGAATAAAGTCTTTGCCTAAAATGAGTGTTTCAAAACCACCTGAAGTTCCAGTTGATCTTCCTGTCAGTGATGTTGGATTGGTTCGCAGGTCAGTAAACTTTTGAAAATTTTAAAATATTTTTAATATTTGATTTCATACTAGATTTCTCTGTATTTCCATTATGAAGAAAATGTTGGGATGGGAATAATCAATCCCACCATATACTGGTTTATAGGACCAGATAATATAACTAACATTTCCTATTACAATGGGCCTGACCCTTCCATGGACCCTGTGCTGAGCAGGAGCTTTATAGTATCAGGTTACGTTCTTTTTTTCTGTTATAACTTTATAAGTTTCTGTGCTTCTCCATATTTGAAGTATTTTTGTGTCTGAGCACAATGAGAAGATTTCAGAGAACTATTGTTCTTGGATGCTAAAATTTTTGGATTGTCAATGCCCACAAAAGAATTCATACTGCTTGTTTGAATGCCCCTTTAGCTTCACCAAACATATTTGAATGCCCCTTGGGGCACTACACATTTTGTGGAGGGGAGAGGAGCTAGGTGGCCTTTGGTCCACCGTGCCGCTGCCGCCACTGTCCGGCCGGCTTGGCTCGGATCGGATCTAGCGTGCATGCGTGTGTGTGTGTGAAATAAAAATAATTTTTGCTTGGGTTAAAGGTGCTGTTGATGTTGATGTTGATGTGTATTTGATTAAATGGAACATAATCTATTTTTTCAATCTATCTTCTAATAGATTCTTCCTGATCCATGTGGCTTCTATAGGAATTCATATTTAGATTCATTTCTGGATCCTGCCTTCATGTCATTGATTAAAGACCCTGATCAAAAGCGTCTGGAGCAGTGGGAGAAAACTGCTGAAGCACAAAGGGGCTGGAATTGTGCTAAATTGCTTGGATATGGTGACCTTGGGGGACCTCCTTTGTCTGCTGCCGAAGAATATTCTCTTCACTCTAGATATCTAGCTAAAGCAAATTCTTTGAATCTTTCTGAAATTGCAGAAATGAAAATCATGTAAGCATCAATCTATTTCATCATCTGATTTGCTTGGATACTCTTAGTTCTAATATTAGTTGGGAACTTTATATGTATCTTATTGATAGGGTGAATGAATCCTTCTAATCAGCAATGTCTGCAAAGTTTTATTGTCCAAATATTTCTTCCCGGATAAGTGATAAACTGAACTTATGGGTTGTAAAATTCCTTTTATCCTTTGTGGCTCCTTTGTCAAAGAAGACATATTTTGCAATGCATTAATAGTAAGACTGTTCTCTAATGATTGCAATATGATGTTCTTTTGTGGAAGAGAAAAGAAAAATAATGTTGCTGGATAAGATGTAATTAATCTTATCAGATTCAATCATAATTAAACGAATAATGAAGTTTTATGCTTTTTAAAATTTCTCGCATTCTTGTTTCCCTTAGTCCATCAACGCGAATGCTTCATGCATGTGTTCAGGTTGATCTTTGCTGCTTCTTCTTTTTTGGGTGAAAAAAAAAAATAGTGAGAGGGAAGGTTTTCCCATTCCAAGGTTAAGGGCATGCCACAAGCGAGGGCTTACATTAATCTTTGCATTTAAAGTCTGCTGAGGTTTTTATGTTTTTCAGTTATCGTGGAGGGGTAGACACTGAGGGTCATCCTGTCATGGTTGTTGTGGGGGCTCACTTTTTGCTCAGGTGTCTCGATCTGGAGCGATTTGTAATCTATGTTGTGAAGGTAATTGTTGTAATAGTCTCACATTCTTTATCACATCATATATTTTGTAAATCGTTTATAATAATTGTAAAATATTCTATTACCATATATTAGCCAATATTTTAGGCAATGATTTCGCTAGGTTTATATATTAGAATGAACTCATGTACAGTGAAATTATTCAGACATAATATTCAGTTTTCTCCAATTCAAGTGTAATTAACTTATAATCCTCAGCTTGACATCTTTTACTGCTCACAAGCATTAGTTTGCATACTTTAAGTTTTTATCTTCTGGCTATTGGCAATGCATACTTCTATTTGAAAGTCAAAACTGATTTATGTCCATTAGTTTTAATCTTTATGTCTTTTCCCTTTCCTTTGTTTATCTTTGTATTAAATTTCAGGAGTTCGAGCCTTTAATACATAAGCCTTATTCTATTGTCTACTTCCACTCTGCTGCATCTCTGCAGATGTAAGTGTTTAATGTTTGAATACTACGATTCACTGATTGGTCTAGTTTTCATGAAATAGAGGTTTGCAATATGCTACGGATTGTCTCCATTAAAAAATATTTCATGAATGTGCAAGGGGAATGGGCTAATTGTTAAACTTCCTTTTACCAACTAGTTATTTTGTGTTAATTATATGATTATAACGTCAAATTAATCAAAATAGTTCCATAGCCGAAGTTTTGGTAATTCACTCCTTTTATTCAATTTGAAAAAGGGAACCAGAAATTAAACAGACAAGTGTGGAAAATATGTTTGAACATTTTTGTTTTATACATTTGCAACAGTATTTTGGTTGCCAAACTTCTCGTATTGTATTGGTAGTACTTTGCATAGTTGCTGAATGCTGGAAGCATCTGCTTGGCCATTGGCTTAGTCGCCGTGTAGTATGTACCTTCATTGAGATTGGTTCTGCAGTATTTTTCTACCTGTTTATGTTAGTAAAACTTAATACATAGCCCCATATTAATTTCGAGCAACCCTTTGTTTTGATTCATTGTGACTTAACTATATGCTTCTTTGTTGAGGATGGTTTGCTGAGGGTAGATAGTCCTGTTTGAGTGGTACTGGTAGGCTTTGGGATAAATTGTGTTAAAATGAATTGAAGTTGTGCCATGGAATGAAGTAATGAACCATTCTTGAATGCAAGAAAAAGGGAAAGGAGTAGTAGAAAAAGAAGTGCGTTTTGAAGCTGGGTTAAGGACATTTTAAATAAACAAGTTGCTAGTGAAACTGTGTATAATTAACTCCAATCATTAGTTGCTCCTATTTGTGTGCAATGCCCAGGATTTTGGTTTGTTGACATAGTTTACTTCTACTTCTCTCCATCCTGCTTTGACATAATTAGGCAGCCAGACCTAGGTTGGATGAGAAGATTGCAACAAATACTTGGTCGGAAGCACCAGCACAACCTGCACGTATGCACTATTTTATTTCTTTCTTTCTTTATTTGTTTGGTTTGGTACATGTATGCAATACATTAGCCTTGTACAGCCTTTGTTCTGATTTCTCAATATGAAATGTGTAGGCAATATATGTACTTCACCCAACTTTTGGACTAAAAGCGACAGTATTTGCACTTCAGATGTTTGTGGACAATATGGTACGTTAGTGGAATCTAAACATATTTAAGGGCCTCATATGTGTATTTATATATTATTTTCAATAAAGATTAATTTTCAGGTTTGGAAGAAAGTTGTATATGCTGATCGACTTCTGCAGCTCTTCAGATACGTACCTCGCGAACAGCTGACCATCCCAGATTTTGTGTTTCAGTTGAGTCTATGTTTTCACGTGATGCCATGCCATCAACATTTTTTCCTTTTCATGATGTTATTTTGTACACTTTCACTTTCAATTTATGGCTTCTGAATGAAGCAGTTGTAGCATATTGGGGATGCCCTTTGCCAATAGGGTGGTATCCTCATTGCTGCAAATTATTATTCTTGCTGTATCCATTTCCTTATGGTGAATGTGGTTTAGATCATAGGCCGGGCACTAATTTGTTTGATACTTTTATTCATACAGGCATGACTTAGAAGTGAATGGAGGGAAGGGTGTTATTGTGGATCCCAGAACAAAATATGTGTATCACAGACCATGACACATGCAGTTGTATATCATTTGGTTGATAAAAGAGGATCATTTGCTGCAGTTTCTTCATTTTTTACCTTGTCCTCATTCCCGCTGGTAACAGAAGAGTTGCATGAGTTTGAAATGTGTATGAAAGTATTTTTTTTTTTATTATTATTATTTTTTTGAATTTTTGGAAGCATTGGTAAGTTTTCTGTATGTATGTATTGTAATTGATCGTGGAAGCGAGTTGGTTGGCTTTTTTTAATTGTCTTGTACATTCAAGAGACCATATTTTCAATAAAATTAGGTTTTGAAGTTGTCGTTCCTCTCATTGCATCCTTGATTTTTGCTACTGTTCACCGTGGGACCAAACTAGTCCAAGCATTATGCAATAATTTCTCCTTTTTTCGTGCTAGGATTATGAAAGATCTACGTCTTCCAGAAATATAATTACGCATAATTATTGTACTTCATCTTCCATTTAAGCCTTTTGTGCCTATTATGCTAATTGAGTGAAAACTTACTCTTACATTTTTTTTGTAATCACTTGGGAACAAGTTTCAACATGTCTGCTAAGTTCAGAACTTCTGAATCACACAAAACTCAAGTTTCAACATGTCCACTTTTTCCTTTTTTTTTTTTTTTTTGATGAGCTCAACATGTCCACTTTAATACAAACTCAAAATACAAATTTTTGAGTTTGCTTTCCTAGTTTCCTTGCTTCTCTTCAAGCAATGCACCTCCTGTGACTGTGAAGCTATCCACTCATTTTGAATCCTCTCTTTACTGATACGTATTTTATCAAACTTGTTTCTCTATTGCGTCTCTATTGCTATTTCTAACCTTTCTCTTTATTTCCTCAGAAAATCAATTTTGTTGCTCCAACAAATTTCTCACCGCTTCGTTGCGCATCATGGGAATTGAAAGGCCCAAAACCTTAACAATTTAGTAAAGGAATCGATCAGAACTTCGATAACGTGATAGCAATCTTATTGTTACTTCTACAATAATTACTGCCTGTCTGTACGGTAATTCATTATGGGTAAGAGGTCCTATTTTTCCTTACCTTTGCTATTAGTGAGGATGCTGAAGCTTGTCTTCATACGTATGAACAATTATCTCTGCTACCCAGCTTGAAATGGTGGAGATTGTGTTCGTCATTAAACATATTTTGCTTTATTTAATAAAATCTTACCATACACTTAAGCAATTGAGATTATAAATGAATTATAGACTAATTTTATTTTTGCAAAGTCTTTGTTTTATTCAAACAAACTTCTAGATACTAAACTATTTCTAAATTTTAAAATTAGAATTGAGATTATAATTGTAACTCTCAATTATAATAGCGTTTTTGGAGACGATAACAGATGGAAAAATTGGTAGGTTATTTCTTTCCTATGAATAAAGGGAAATGCTTGTTATTTACCCAAAAATGGGGGGTGAGGGGATTCTTGTTCCCCTTTTTGACACTCTTTACCCGCAAAGTGCTAAAGCTATACTTCAATTTCTCTTCCTCTTCTCGCTCCATTTTCCCGTTTGTAACCTTCACAAACTGAAACACAATCACGCACAGAAACAGGAGTTTTCTCACTGTTGGTTAGCCAAAAACTGTCACTGTACATGCCATTGTTCATGCCTTTTTCTACTTTGAGGCCATTTACTCAGTTCCATGCTCACCTCTTGGTCACTGGCCTCCACAGAGACCAATTGGCTTCTGCTAAGCTCCTTGAGTCTTGCGCCCAAAAGGTTATCTCCAATCTTCCAAGACTTGTTTTTAAAACTTGCCTATCTCTAAGTTCCTCCATATGTGGGGGGTGTCAAGAAATGATACCTGTGGAACCACTTTTTTGAGCAATTAGTTTTGCTTACTATCACATGATCATGCACAAAGGCGTATATGATTAAGGAAGAACTGCCACTCTGGCATATCTATCATTGTTGATATCCATCTTCACTAAACTACAACCAGGGACCTTGTTCAATCCTCTTAGCTTTATCATCTCTCTCACCTGCTTAACCAAGCCCCATCTCCCATCTGAAGCATATAGGTTTGAAACGAGCACGTAGTAACAAGCTTCATCAGGATGCAACTCCAACATTCTCCTAATTGCTACTTCTCCTAATTCAAACCTTGAATGAAGTCCACATCCATGGAGAAAAGCTCCAAATACACTAACACTAGGTTGAACAGGCATTTTGTCAATGAAGTCCAATGCCTCTTCGAGGTTGCCAGCACGTGCCAATAGATCAACCATACATGCATAATGCTTCATGGAAGGAACAAAATTCAATTCGCGACACATCAAATCAAATAACCTCGAGCCTTCTCCAACCATCCCTGAATGGCTGCAAGCTGCTAATATAGTAGTGAAGACCACATCATTCGGCTCGAATTCCTCTTTCAACATATCCTTAAAGAGAGCAAGGGATCCACTTCCATCACCTTGCATGCCATAACCACCAATCATTGCACTCCAAGTCACGGTATTCTTCTCTCCCATCCCATCAAACACCATACGAGCTGATTTTGCATCCCCACATTTTGCATAAAAGTTCAGCAATGCAGTGCCAACATAGATGCTAGACGACACCAGGCCATCCTTCAAAGAGAAAGCATGAAGGGAAGCACCAAGTTGAAGAGCACCAATGGAAGCACAAGCAGAGAGAACACCAACCACCGTAACAGCATCAGGCGAAAATGAGTCTGATCTCATCCTTTGAAAGAGCTCAAGAGCTTCATAAGCAGAACCACTGTGTGCATAACCAGAAATAATCGAGTTCCAAGAGATAACATCCTTCTCAACCGAAGTTTCAAACACATAACGAGCATCTGAAATGAGGTGACACTTTGCATACATATCAACAAGAGCATTCCTCACAGGAGGATCATCCAAACCACACTTAACTAAAAGAGCATGGAGTGACTTTCCCATAACGGTATTGCCGAGTTGAGCAGATGCAGAGAGCAAACTAGCAAGGGTAACAGAATTGGGCAATAGTCCTACCCATTTGTTGTTAATGAACAATTCCAAGGCCATGAGGGGATAACCCCTCTGAGTATACCCCACAATCATTGCTGTCCATGAAACAAGGTCATCATCATCAATGGAAAACTCATCAAACACAGAACGAGCATCCCTAATATCCCCACACTTAACATACATATTCAAAAGAGAAGTTGCCAAGAAAGAATTGAGCTCAATCCCATTCTTAATGATATACCCATGAACCCACTTCCCCTGATGCAAAGATCCCAACTTGGTGCATGCGGTGACCAAGCTTCCAACAGTAAACTGATTCCCATCAACAAACCCTTCTCGCATTCTATTAAACAATGTCAACCCTTCATGGGCACAATCATTTTGCACGTAAGCTACAATCATCGAAGTCCAAGAAACGACATTTCGGTCAGCGATTTCGTCGAACACTTGTCGTGCACTCTGAACGCGTCCGCATTTGGAGTAAACGTCGACGAGAGCGGTCATCACGAAGCTATCGGGTGGCTTGGCTTTGATAATGTGGCAATGAAGAATGGCACCGTGAACGACGTCGCGTAACTCGCAGCAAGCTTTGAGAACGATGGAGAAGACGACGTCGTCGTTGCAGAGTCCGAGGGTGACCCTCATGAGGTGGAAGAACGAAACGACGTGGGAATGCATGTCGTTGAGGAAGTACCAGCGGATCATGACCTTGAAGGAGTAGAAATCCGGGGAGGGCAACCGGTCGAACAGGTTGCGTGCGTGGCGAAGATTGCCGAATGAAGCGTAGAGGCTGACGAGCTTCGTGTCGGAGAGGAGGTCGCCGGTGACGCCGTGGACGAGGAGAGAGGCGTGAAGCTTCTTCACAGTGTCAACGTTTCTGCACATGCGAGCGAGGTAGAATGTCGGAGGGAGTGGCGGTGCGTGGTTGTCGTTGAAGAATCTCCGTTGAAAACCGACGTTTGGGGCATGACGGAGGAATCTTGATACCACTAACATGTGTAATTATTGTTAAAATCATCCTCTTTGTTTGTTATCTTATAATTCCATAAAATTAATTCAAGTATATAGACCAAATTAAAATAAGTTTGATTTTTTTTATTTTTTTTTGGTAAAACAAAATAAGTTTGATTTATAAAGACTACAAGTATATTTTAACCTTTATTATAGTTAGTTGACATTTTGATGTAATAGTGTTGGATATTAGTAGATAAGGTGTACATGAAAAAAATAGGTAAAATGATCTATTCATTTTAAGAAAATACAAGTGTTATGTAATAGGAAAAATATCCACTTTCCTACTGACTCAATATAGCGTGAGATCCACTTCAATTTTTTTGTTTTTCTTCTGTACAATAAAGCCCACAGCGTTTTTATGTCTGTAACATGACACAAATGGTGTCATGCTTCATGACAAACGATTATCCCTTCATTTTATTATATTATCTCGTTGGATCAAATAGTTATTTGAAATCAAAGATTAATCATATTGGTCTCAAAAATGATTAAGATAGGTAGAATATTAATTAATATATAATTTACAAGCAAATAAATAATTGATTCTGTTTAATAATTAATTATCAATAAAATTAGTTCTCTTTTCTCGTGACATGAGATGATATCAATAGACAAAACAAGTGGGTTTTCTTTGAGTTTCAAAGTAACTACAATTTTGACTAGTTGGGTCTATTTTAAATTTCAGACGAATTGACTTTTTCTTGCTAAGAAATTAAAATGGGCCCCCCGATTTTTGTTTAGGATCCAAAATGTACTTTATTCTTTTTTTATAGAGTAAGGATATTGTAACTACTAAAAATTCTTACTACTAACTTACTATCCATCACATCACCATTGGATCAAAGAGAGAGAATGTTAAAAAGTTTTTGAAGAAAGAGAAAATGTTAATCTAATGATGACTAGATAGGTAGTAAGTTGGTAGTGAAAATTTTTAATACTTAGAATATTCGTCCTCTTTTTTATATTAAAAAAAATTAAATAGTTCATTTGTAAATTTTTAAAAATGAAATCCTAAAATTGTTATGTTTAAAGGGTTTTATAATTCTCATTTAACATGAGAATTACAATTTTCCTACACACCCTTCGATTTCCGTACTGACATGGGTCTTACATATACTTTTTTCTAACATATGGGTCCCACATTGAGATTTCAGTTCTCCTTCAACATGAGAATTATAAAACCCATGTTTAAAAGACCATAAAGATATTAAAACTTTTTTCTTAATTAGGGATTAATGATGGAAAAATATACTCTTATGTTATATGAGAGAATTTTTCTCTCCTACACATACATCGATTTCCGTGTTACTTTTTTATTTCTTTTTTCTTTTTCTATAATAAGTGGGTCACACACATAATTATCTCTATTACATGAGAGAATTCTCTCTTATTACATGAGATTAATAAAGCCCATTAATGATATGACTTCGACTTAAAAACATGTTTTGGTTTGGCACTTTGCATCACCCCCTCCTTCCATGCCGGTGAAAACACATTCTAACTGTATATGTGAAAGTATAACATAACAATGACAAAGCCCTTGGATATCTTATTTGAAAGTTATTCGTGGGAATTATTTTTACTAATAACAATTCCTTAACCGAAGTCATAAAATGATAAATGATTAACATTTTGAATGATCAGACTAATATTAAACCAGAAATTACCGTGTGTTAACAGGTACAATTAAAAGCTTATCTCCAACCGTGTTAGTTAGTTACAGTGTTAAACACATTAAAAGCTTATCTTCAAAGGTTTTACTTCCGATCATAGCTTATCTTCTGATCACAGCTTATCTCTCCAGAAGTTCGTTCTACTTTTGATAACGGCTTATCTCTCCAAAATCAAAATTGAAACTCAAGAGCTTCAGAGATTGCATCAGGATTTCCTTAACCGAAGCCATAAAATGATAAATGATAACATCTTTAATAATCAGACTAATAACAGATATAATTAAAAGCTTATCCCCAACGAACCGTGTTAGTTAGTTAGTTACACTTACACATTAAAAGCTTATATTCAAAGATTTTACTCCTGATCATAGCTTATCTACAAATTCGAGAAGTTCTATTTTGATAATGGCTTATCTCCAAATTCAAAATTGAAACTCAAAAAGTGTTTCAGAAAATGCACATTGATTGAACGAGATTCATCAGAAACCCCTGACCTTAATTAACCATAAGAATTCATAGATAAAAACTTTTTACCTTTTTGCTGCTCTGTTTCCTTTAACCATCATGAGCCAGAGGGACAAGAAAACACTTTGGGATTTGATGGCAAATATTTCAGATAGCGAGACACGTCAGAAGATGTCTTGCAAACCCTTTAGGCCTCACTCTTTGGACCTAACACTATCAAGCCTTGCACCACAGTTTTACAATGAAGAAGAATTGGCTCAGATAAAGAGTCTCCATGAACAACTTGATTTGCCACCTGTTAGAACCACAAAGACAGAGAAAGAAAAGGTGACCCCAAATCAAATGCATGAGGACGAAAACGCCACCTCCGTGAATAATAAAAAACCAAGGAAGATGCGTATGCCAAAGAATGCAACACCATCATCATCTTCACCACCATCGTTACTGTTACCGTTACCGCTACTGTTACAGGCTCCACCAATACCACCACCACCACCACCACCACGGGGTCTGCCGATTGAATTCATGAATCGTATCAGAGAATTGAACGGCACTAACATTAAATTTCTGATGACCAAGACGCTTTTCCACACAGATGTCAGCCCTAGTCACAATCGTCTGTCAATGCCTATTAACGAAATTAGGTGTGATTTCCTCACGGAGGCTGAGAATGGAATGTTAGAGGAAAGAGAAGGCGCTAACGGAGGACTTGTTGGTGTTGCAGTGACGGTGTTGGATCCATGTCTCAGAGAATATCCTTTGATATTGAAGAAGTGGAAAATGACGAGTTCCAGCATCTACACTCTCATCAAAAACTGGAATATCATTGTTCCTGAAAATAATTTAGAAAAAGGCCATCAAGTCCACATATGGTCTTTTAGAGTTGATGCCAAATTATATTTTGCTTTAAACAAAGTTTGAAAGCTAGATGTCGCATAGAGACACAGGACAAGTTAGTAGGTTTATAGGCGAAAAAAAAACAGTTCATGGCGATTAGTTAGTAGGTTTACAAGCGCTAACAAAACAAAAAAAACATAGTTCATGGCTTTGTGATTAGTCCGATTCGGAACAGGTTTCGGGATCAAGGCTTTAAACCTCTCTTTCAATTATGGTACTAAGGAATATTTCACATATGCTTTCACATCCACCTACTTCTGCTCAATTCTCCAACACCAACTGAACGATCATCATTTGGTAAAAACTCTTACTTCTTGTTGTAAAGAATCTGTTTGCCTTTTTCTCTTCTCTTCAAGTTTTTTTTTTTTTTTTTGATCCTCTTATCTTCAAGTTTTCCTTCAAAGAATGGCTGCTTTCATTCTATTAATTTATTCTTTAATACAATAATCATATTTCTTGATAACTTTTGTTCAAATATACTCTATCAAGTGATATTAAAATATAGTTTTTCTAACAAGATTTTTTATTGATCAATCTGTATATTTTTATTATTTAAAATTAAGAGAATTTTTTTTTCATTTTCTTACCCTCGTTATACTCAAAATATATTGTCTTTTTTTTCTAATTAGTTATTAAGCTTTATTATTTATTTTTACTATGACCTTCTAATTTTATGTAACTAGAACGTCACTTCGTTCTTATTTATTTATTTAGTTTTCTTTAATTGATTAAAGGGAAAGTAGTTTATCATATTGTAGAAATGACACTGTTTTGTCCTGCTATAGGATCCAGTTCCGTATTCTGACTTTTTAACAGGTCCTAGATCCTGACTCTCTTTTTTTAGTTGAGACTCACGCTTGATTTGTGTGTAGATAAAAAACTCTTGTAATGTGACATGACAAAAAACTAACCCTTGATTAAAATATATATTCATTTTTTATCAGTTCGATAACAATTGGGTTTGGTAATGAGTCTCCAATTTACTATGTATTAAGGGTTAATATGAGCATGAAATTGATTTGAAAGTAATTAAATGTTATGAGAATCATAATTAGATTATTATTTTATTTTCAATAATATTCTCATAAGATTTCTTATATTTTGCAGTAAATTTCAGCTGAATAAAGAGATAAATTGGAGAGATCAAGTAGAGTTGATTTGGATTTCTCAATCATTCAAGATCTTATCAAATCTTTGTTTGAATATTTTTAAGGAAAGTTTTTCATTAAATAAAAAAAGGGAAGATTTGAAGGATTGAATCAAAGATATGATAGGAGATTCTAGTGAAGATTCCATTGAAGATATTATGGGAAATTAAAAGATATGATTCATAAAAATGCATCTCTTGGAAACACAGAGACAAAATTTGACAGATGCAAGCATATTCAGAGGAAGGAGGAGAACACCGGAGTCCAGAGTTAGAGATATCAGAGAGAGAGAGGAGCTTGAAGGAGACTGAGCAATATTGATTCTTCTTCTTCTTCTTCTTCTTTATGATTTCTTTTCTTTCTTTATTTTGTTTAAGCCAGCTATGTCTGGTTCAAAAAGTTTTTATTTTTATTTTTATTTTTATTTTTTCAAGTTCTCAAGTTATGGCTAATAGTTGCCCCAACCAAATCATACAGATTTGGAAAAGGAGCCACGTTCTTTCTAACTAAAAAAAATAGAAAATGTAACTCTGTGATTTTGTTTGACATTGATATACAACTAGTGCATAATTTCAAGAACGGGGATGGTATAGTTTCTATATTTGGTTAAGTAAGCTTGATTTTTGTCGTCAAGAGTTCTTGATAGTTATATATCTCAAAGCAAACTGAAGAACTTTGTATTTTAAAATCAAATTTTACACACCTTGCTCAAAAATGAAATGGATGTGAGCAAGCCGAAAGAAGTGTTTTTTTTGTTGAAAATAAACAAGTGTTTTCTTTTTTACTCACTGTTGAAGCCTTATGTGATTAAGCTCCCAAAACTGAGCTTAAGCGCGCTAAACAATAAGAATTGCAATTTCTCCACTGCCTCATCGTGCTTAAGAGCGACAATCCCCGCTTAAGAGCGATGCAAAATAAAAAGTTTGGTTCAAAAACTTGTTGCGCTCACGGCAAGTGTACCGGTCGTACAATTAATATAATGATTAAATAAGAGATCGTTCCCACGAGGATTATAAATCAAGCACTAATTCACTATTATAACTTAAGTTGGACAATCGAAATTGTATTTGTAACAGAATTTGAATTGAAATTTAAAATATTAAAACTAATTAATATCAAGAATTAAAAACAAGAATTTAAAGATTTGAATTAACTAATAAGAAAGAACGTAGCTAGGGTTTCGATTTTCTTCAATCTCTCTATTACGTCTGAATTCCTTCTTTAAATTAATTGTCCTTAATATCAATCTAATCGATTCTTTCTAATGTATTTAGGGCTCAATCCCTTGTTACCCTTAATCTTTATAATCCTGCAAGAACCCTAGTTCCCCGGTTATTCCCCAAGAAAATAAGCATTAAATTCAAGAATCTAAAGATTACGCAAACCCTATGTCTATCCCTAGAATCACAAGGATTATGACGAAATTATCAGATACAGATCATGCACCAATATTCCTATTGTCATGCATTTTCCTAAGATCAATATATAAGATTCAAGCTCATATAAAGCATTAAGCAAAGATAATTTCATTCATGATAAAAAGGAAAGTTAACGTAAAGAATTGTTCAAGACATAAAAGATTAATTAAATTCCATCTAACCCTAACTACTGAAAGATTTAGTCGGACATAGCAAGATCAAGAACGAAAGAAAATATAAAAGTTTCCCCAAATTTCATGGTTGATTGGTGAATCTTCAATATCTCCAGTGCAAGCTTGATTTTGATTCATCTCCGCCGCTCACGAACATGAACTGTGGATTTATCCACTTTCCCTCTTCCTCCGAGTACCAAGAACTCTTTTAGAATGTGAAAAAGTGATTGATCATGCCTCAAATTGTGTTTTTATTTGCCAGAAATTCGTGCCCTAGATGGATATTTCAAGTGGGCCTAATTAAGTTGGGTTTCTGGGGCGCTTAAGCCTGAATTTGGGGGCTTAAGCCTCCTAAGATTTGCGTGCAGAATTAACGTGGTGCGCTTAAGCGCGCTCTTCGAATCAGAATTTTTCTTCTTGGTAGCGCTTAAGCCCCGAGTTGGGGTTTAAGCTTCCTCAGGCGGTGCGTGGTTGTCGTTGAAGAATCTCCGTTGAAAACCGACATTTGGGGCACGACGGAGGAATCTTGATACCACTAACATGTGTAATTATTGTTAAAATCATCCTCTTTGTTTGTTATCTTATAATTCCATAAAATTAATTCAAGTATATAGACCAAATTAAAATAAGTTTGATTTTTTTTTTTTTTTTTGGTAAAACAAAATAAGTTTGATTTATAAAGACTATAAGTATATTTTAACCTTTATTATATGTTAGTTGACATTTGGATGTAATAATAAAAAATGCCACCTCCGTGAATAATAAAAAACCAAGGAAGATGCGTATGCCAAAGAATGCAACACCATCATCATCTTCATCACCATTGTTACTGTTACCGTCACAAGCTCCACCAATACCACCACCACCACCACGGGATCTGCCGATTGAATTCATGAATCGTATCAGAGAATTGAACGGCACTAACATTAAATTTCTGATGACCAAGACGCTTTTCCACACAGATGTCAGCCCTAGTCACAATCGTCTGTCAATGCCTATTAACGAAATTAGGTGTGATTTCCTCACAGAGGCTGAGAATGGAATGTTGGAGGAAAGAGAAGGCGCTAAAGGAGGACTTGTTGGTGTTGAAGTGACGGTGTTGGATCCATGTCTCAGAGAATATCCTTTGATATTGAAGAAGTGGAAAATGACGAGTTCCAGCATCTACACTCTCATCAAAAACTGGAATATCATTGTTCCTGAAAATAATTTAGAAAAAGGCCATCAAGTCCACATATGGTCTTTTAGAGTTGATGCCAAATTATATTTTGCTTTAAACAAAGTTTGAAAGCTAGATGTCGCATAGAGACACAGGACTAGTTAGTAGGTTTATAGGCGAAATAAAAAAACAGTTCATGGCGATTAGTTAGTAGGTTTACAGGCGGAAACAAAAAAAAAACATAGTTGATGGCTTTGTGATTAGTCTGATTCGAGACAGGTTTCGGGATCAAGGCTTTAAACCTCTCTTTCAATTATGGTACTAAGGAATATTCCACATATGCTTTCACATCCACCTACTTCTGCTCAATTCTCCAAAACCAACTGAACGATCATCATTTCGTAAAAACTCTTACTTCTTGTTGTGAAGAATCTGTTTGCCTTTTTCCCTTCTCTTCAAGTTTTTTTTTTTTTGATAGACCTCTTCTTCTCTTCAAGTTTTCCTTCAAAGAATGCCTACTTTCATTCTATTAATTTATTTTTTAATACAATAATCATATTTCTTGATAACTTTTGTTCAAATATACTCTATCAATATCAAGTGATATTAAAATAGTTTTTCTAGCAAGATTAAATTAATATTTTCATTTTTTATGGATCAATCTGTATACTTTTATTATTTAAAATTAAGAGAAATTTTTTTCATTTTCTTACCCTCGTTATACTCATAATATATTGTCCTTTTTTTTTCTAATTAGTTATTAAGCTTTATTATTTATTTTTACTATGACCTTCTAATTTTATGTAACTAGAACGTCACTTCTTTCTTATTTATTTATTTAGTTTTCTTTAATTGATTAAAGGGAAATTAGTTTATCATATTGTAGAAATGACACTGTTTTGTCCTGCTATAGGATCCGGTTCCGTATTCTGACTTTTTAACAGGTCCTAGATCCTGACTCTCTTTTTTTAGTTGAGACTCACGCTTGATTTGTGTGTAGATAAAAAACTCTTGTAATGTGACATGACAAAAAACTATCCCTTGATTAAAATATATATTTGTTTTTTATCAGTTCGATAACAATTGGGTTTGGTAATGAGTCTCCAATTTACTATGTATTAAGGGTTAATATGAGCATGAAATTGATTTGAAAGTAATTAAATGTTATGAGAATTATAATTAAATTATTATTTTATTTTCAATAATATTCTCATAAGATTTCTTATATTTTGCAGTAAATTTCAGCTGAATAAAGAGATAAATTGGAGAGATCAAGTAGAGTTGATTTGGATTTCTCAATCATTCAAGATCTTATCAAATCTTTGTTTGAATATTTTTAAGGAAAGTTTTCCATTAAATAAAAAAAGGGAAGATTTGAAGGATTGAATCAAAGATATGATAGGAGATTCTAGTGAAGATTCCATTGAAGATATTATGGAAAATTAAAAGATATGATTTCATAAAAATGCATCTCTTGGAAACACAGAGGCAGAATTTGACAGATGCAAGCGTATTCAGAGGAAGAAGGAGAACACCGGAGTCCAGAGATGAAGATATCAGAGAGAGAGAGAGAGAGGAGCTTGAAGTAGACTGAGCAATATTGATTCTTCTTCTTCTTTATGATTTCTTTTTCTTTCTTTATTTTGTTTAAGTCAGCTATGTCTGGCTAGTTTTCTTTGTAGTTAGGAATATGGATCCGACGTGAATCCTTGTTTTTGTTTAATTCTTTTCATTAAACACCTTGATTTGCATGCTTAAGTTCTTGTATGATCTGGCCAATTATCTAGGGATAAAGAGGGTTAAGGTTCACAAATAGACATATTGGGATCTTGAACTAGACAGGGGTAGAACACAAATTCTTGCATGATCTAGACATAGGCTTGTAGGAATTGCAAACTTTTATAATTCATCGCGCTTAAGGCTTAATCTAAAAGGGATTTCTAAGACATTAGGATTCTGATTGGGTTAAAGGGATAGAGAACTAAGACATTATGGTTTAACCAATTAATTTTTAGATGATGAATTATTTGAAATAATTGAGATAGAATATTATTGAATTATAGTTAAACCAATTAAGGGGGATCAGAGGTGAAGTAAACCTAACTGCATTTTTATTCATAATTTCAATTTAACCAATTTTTAATTAAATAATAGTTACCTGCGAAATTACTTTTGAATTGTCTAACTTAAATAAAAACGGCAAAACTATTGCTTGAATTTAGTCATCGTGGGAACGATATTTTTACTTAATGACTTTATTACTTGTACGACAGGTATACTTGCCGTGTTCGCAACATTTGGACCATTCAATATTAAGCCTGATCTATTGGTTGTTTAGGTATTTGGTGCTATATATGAGATGGAGTTTTCCCGAGATGCTATGCAAGAATGGATGTCTTGAAGCTGGATCTCTTAATTGTTTAGGGCGATTGGGGATTTCAATGCTTAGCTGGAGTTTTCTCGCTTCTCCGTCATATCAGCTGATGTGGAAATTGAAAAAAAAAAGTAACTTTTCATTTTATATCATAGTATATAGTGTTAAAAATTAAAAGGATATAACTTATATTATTTAAAAGGAAAAATAATAAAGCTTTTATTTATATAGCAGTTTAGCATCCTTGATTATGTCGTCTTAATATAGAAACAGTGCATAGAGGTGGCTCTTGGAGACTATTTCGTGTGCGCAATATTTATTTGTGGACTATATCTTGTAGATGTTGCTAGTAGTAGTCTATCCCTTAACTATTGGCTATTAGGATGGTTATAGACTTCTAAACTGCTAATGTTGTGCGTCAATATTCCAACAAAATTGACAATGTACGCAGGATGATAGCTTTGAAGTCTTTAGTTATTGGGTCATTTTGAACTTTTATGGATTGGGCCTCATATCTGGTATGAGATAGGTCTAGATGAGTTTTAAATAAAAATTCTAGCATTTTTTATCTTTTGAAGTAAAAAATAACAACTTATTAATGAGTCTTTTTTTTGTTGTAATTTATAGTATATAAAAGCTGAAACGCAAGTTGTAATTTATTTTTCTGCCTGTGCAATGGTATATCTACTTTTAATTATTTGACACATTCACTACGTAGTACGTACCCTGAGTTGTAAATATAAACCTCAATGCTTGTATATATTTATGAGAAAAGTATTTTTTTTAATTTAAAGTACACAATTGTTTTCCTCAATGCTTGTAAATATTTTTCGTCGATAAATTCTGTCGGTATTTGAGACTTTTATAATAATGTCACATTTAAAAAAATTCACATTTATGTTGTTTTCACATTTTAATGCTAAGGGTAGATAAATATTTTTTAATAATTCCCTCTTAAACCCCCCCCAATTTGGGGGAAATTTAATTTTAAGAAGAATGAGGGTTTTGGAGGGTATAATATAAATCTCCAATTTTTTCCTCTCATTTTTTTTAACTCACAAACAAGAGAAGAGCTTACTAAAACTCTCTCTATCCTTTCCTTCCCCTCCTAAAACCAACTTCCAAACAAAGCCTTAGTCAAATTTTGTGGCTTATTTTTGCGGCCCATCAAAATGGTCTTCTATTTCTATCCGAAGCACAAATTAAGTTAACATGCTAAGGTATATTAATTGGAAAAATAAATTTTATACTTCTAATTTAAAGTTTTAACATTTGAAAGTTCTTTTTAAAGATAAAGAGTACAAATTCCCAAACACAAATTAAAACTACATAGGATTCAACATATGAAATCTAGAATCTCCTAGTATATTTGTGGTAAACATAGTTTATCTCTCGAGACATGTTGTGACGCATGTGGAGTCATTCACCCTTAGCAATGGCATTGCTCGCAAACAAGTCTGCGCAACAGTTTCCATGCTCGATTCCTGATTATTACATATGTCTTTTGAGCTTCATTATAATTCTTGATAATCATGAAGATCAATAGAATGAAATCTCCTTCCACAGGCATATTCATACTAATAGGTTGATAGGATAGCGAATCCTATTCAGCAATCTCAACGAAGGATCAGAAGATCAGAGAGAAAGAAATTGAAGAAAGAACAATGCAGTATCTGTATATTTCAATGAATCAACCAAAAGTTTCCCCAATTCGTATCTATAGGACACGTTTACTTCACACTCTGTAACTGACTCTAACAAACAACACGTAAGCTTAAAATGATAAAAGGCCCAATACATGTGGGTCAGGAAATGCCTAAACAGATGGCATAATATGATAATGCCTAACACAGATGGCACAGTAAGGACCAACCAACATATAATGGTGAACTATCTTGGGCTGATTACACAATGTAATCCTTGGCCCAAGATGGGGCTCCAGCCCTTCTCTTTAGTCTAGGACTCTCCCACGTAACATTGCCTCCTGGTGCAAAAAGGACCTTGTCCTCAAGGTTCATGGGTGGCAACGAAAATTCAGGGTAGAACTTGAGAAGATCCTCTTCATACTCCCAAGTAGCATCTTCAGGAGGAGAGCTTGTCCACTGTATCAGCCACTGTTTGCGAACGACCTGCCCCTCTTGCAGCATCCGGGTCATGACAGCAGCTAAAGGCACCTGGACAGGGTGATTCTCCTTAGTAAGTGCGGGTAAGGGAACAACAATAGTAGAACTATTTCCCTTGAATGGTTTAAGGACAGAAATGTGGAAAGAAGAATGAATACGGCAACTGGCAGGCAATCCTACTTGGTAGGCCACAGGACTCAAAACCCGAGTAATAGGATAGGGACCAAAGTACCTCTTAGAGAGTTTTTGGCACCTCCTCCTGGCCAAGGTGAGCTGTCTATAGGGTTGTAATTTTACCAATACCAGATCTCCTACTGAAAAGCTGACATCCTTCCTATGCTTATCAGCTTGAACTTTCATTCTATTTTGAGCACTTTGCAAATGACTCTTAAGGCTCCTCAACAAAGCATCTCGATGGCTTAAGGTGGCATCAACAGCCTCCACCCTTACGGACCCTGGAATATAAGATGGAATCATTAAAGGCACCTTACCATACAATGCCTGAAATGGGGTCATACCAATAGCAGAGTGCACAGCAGTATTATAGTGGTACTCAGCCCACCCTAAATACAAAGCCCACTTATGGTTCTCCTCATGGCAAAAAGCCCGAAGGTACTGCTCTAAGTATCGAT